TACTCGTACGTACTTACGTACTACTTACTACGTACTACGTCGTTACGTTACGTCGTCGTCCTTCCTTCCTTCCTTCTCTCTCTACTCTCCTCTCTCTCTCTCTCTCTCTCTCTCTCTCTCTCTCTCTCTCTCTCTTCTCTCTCTCTCTCTCTCTCTCTTCTCTCTCTCTCCTCTCTCTCTCTCTCTTCTCTCTCACTCTCTCTCTCTCTCTCTCTCTCTCACACACACACACACACACACACACATATCTCAGCTAGGAATACAAAAACTGCCATTTCAGATTTTGAAACTCTTCATCAAGAATAGGGCTCTTGGCATGGTGGTCAGGGTGGCAGAGCCACAATGTGATGTCAAGAGTTCCAATCTTAGTGATGTCAAGAGTTCCAATCTTACTCGTTAGCATGTTAAAGGAAAATAAATAAATTCCTTATCATATTGCATATCTAATATTTAGTTGTTTCATAATTGGAGGTTCAGGAATCTTTCTCTTCTGGATAAAGTTAATGGGAAATAAGTGAGTTTATTCATCAAGAGATAAAATTGTACTTTGATGAGAAATTTCCTGTTTAAGCATCTTTCTCATAAGAAAGGGGTTTCAATTATTATTTAATTTAAATTTCTATTTAAATTTGATGTTTCTTTGGGCTGAGAACTAACTTATGAATAAAATTCATCATAATCGAGATTCATTTAAGGAAAATGCAGGGATTGTGAATTATGGGTACGCATCGTCGTTCTAATGGTACTGCAGAACGAAGAAGGCTAGAGTGGAATCCATATTGGGATGAATACTTTGTCGTCCTAATGGTCAACCAAGTAAATAAAGGAAAAAAGAGAGAGAGTGGATTCAGCAAAGATGCATGGCGCTCTATGGTCATTAAATTCAACAGGAAATTCAACCAAACCCTCCACAAGCAACATTTAAAACATCGTTATCAATACCTTAAGAGAGAGTACAAAATTGTTAAGACTCTTCTTGACCAAACTGGGTTTGCTTGGGATGAAAGAAGAAAGATTGTGACAGCTAAAACTGAAGCCTGGGATTGCTATTTATCGGTATGTTGAATACTTATTAAAATCCCCAAATTTGCATTTTGCCAGTAGCTTAAATTGTGTACTTACAGGAACATCCTGAGGCCAAGCTTTATAGAACGAGGGGCTTGCCACTGATGGGAGAATTGGGCATAATTTTTGGAAATTCAACAGCTGACAATCAACAAAATCATCACGGGGAAAAGATGGAAGAAGCACCACGAGTGAGAAGAGCTTTACAACCTCCTGTTATATTCACTGATGATGATGTAGCTACATTGGACTCTGAAAGTGATGAATCATCATGTTCAAGGGAGGACATGAATGCATTGGATCAAGGCAACAAGCGTAAATTTGAGATACTCAGTCCATCGCATTGCGACAAAAAAGCTCGTAAAATGGATAAGCTTATGGTGGAGGCCCTACAAGAGATGGCAGACAGTTTGAGGTTTAGGACAAGTCGAACAGTGGGACCTTCCTCAAAACAAGAGCTAAAAAACTGCATAGAAGAACTACAGGCTATGAAAGATTTGGATGATCAGCTATTTGGGAAAGCCTGCAAAATGTTGAAGGATGAAAAGAATGCAGTTATATTTATGACGCTCAAAGGTCATCACCGGCTGCTATGGGTGAACGAGATGTGTGTTGCACTGTAGCCTTCGAGGTGATTTACACGTGTACTTCTTTTATTATATGTATCTTTTTGGTTTCCCCCTGTTTTGAGCAAGTAATTTGAAAGTGATGAATATGTGGATTTCTTTGTTTTACCCATTTTGTTTTCTCTGTAGGATGCATAATATCATAGCAACCACTCTGTCCATTTGATCACTCAAGCTATGGGCTGTCATTGAAGAAGATTCAATCAATAATGATGGAATAATAACTGCCTTACAAAGTACAATATTCGAAGAACTTACTTACTTCCTACGGTCACCACTGATTCTTTCTCAACTTCATTCCATCCGCTCTCAGCTCATCAATTTTATGTTTCTTTCCATGCATATTATAATTCACATAAGTGAGCAATGTCTTCTGTCGGATCTATCACTCCCCATTTTGGCAGTTATTTTCTGGAATATTCGTGAATGAAACAAGTAATAGGAATTATTATTCTCATTTATATACTTGTTGGAATCAGGTATGACTTCATTATTGTTTTACAATGCTTAAGGAGATGTATTAGTTTAGGAGAGAAGACAAAATTTTGGTATTATAAATAGGAATTACCTTGATAACTGACATCAGACCAGTTCTGAATTGAAAATCACCTTTGTAGATTGTTCCTTCTCCAGGAGGATGTCAATGAGTATGCGTATTCATATGAATATAATAAGAACTATAGCTGGTTTATGTGTTTGGCTTGAAAGCTCTTACTTAGAGAGCGCATGGTCAACACATGCAACACGAGTGAAGGTATGTAACAAATCAACATTCTTGGTTAAAATACAAGGAACTCAATACATTCCAAGATTTACTTCCTGTAATGGTTAAGAGGGTAGATAAAACAGCGAAGTGGATGGGTTTATCTGTTCCTTCTAATTGCATCAATCACTCAAAATTATTTATGCGCCTTTGAAGATATTTAAATGGGGCAAGGAATCATTATATATGCCATAGCACTGTTCAAGAACTTGTCTGAGTCAACACGGACTCGGTCATGTGGCTCAGTCTCAATGACCTGCTGCGCTGAAACAGGGTACTTAACTGTACCCTATTTGGGCAAGTATTATACAGACTCGTCCAAGTACTTTAAAATTCAGGCATGACTCACCCGAGTTTTACAATAGTTCGGCAAGTCACTAAACTCTAAAGTAGTTGCGTAAGTACTGTACACTCTTTAAGTTTAAATGTGGGGAACAAAGATCCACCCCTTCTTCCTTGGTTTCTTTGATTTTTGAGGTTTCCCATTATGAACCTCACAAGGAACTTGATTTAGCCTACAAAATGAAAACTGTAATAATAAGATAAAATATTCATACCAAATTCAAAAACAAAAGCTGTTTCTTACCTGTTAAAAGCAAAAATAAAAATGCATGAAAAGGGCGCTCATCAAGCAAAACACTTGGTAAAAAAGCACTGAAGATCAACATCAAAGAAAAGAACAAACTTGCAAATGTGAGAAATTTTAAGCTGTAATTTTCGAAAGGCATCTATCTGGTCTGAGAATAGCATCGACATGTTGATTGTTTGCAATTCCTCTAGAGACATGTCCAAGTATATTAGGAACCCTACTGCGCTCCCTCATCAAAGCAGCCCTCAAAAGGTGTTTCCAATTCTTGTCGACCATTGACATCCTAAATGGGATCTCTATCTCATAGTTTGTTGGGGGCAAATGGTGTCATGGGAGTTCACTGCTCGCTTTTGAACCTTAGACATTATTCTGATTAAGGTATGATTATACAAGATTCTTTTCTTCTTACTCATCTTTTATTTTGGCACACTTATTCCTACATGCTTTTGAATTTGAACCATTGATAATCTGTATTTTTGGATTTTTCATTTATTCCCTTCTGTTTTTTTTCAAGTCTGATAATCACACTCAAAGGAATGACATCTCGGAGGTTGATATGGACAAAGAACTGAATGTTGGATCAGTGGATGCTTTTTGAAGAAGTTGAATTGTGTCCAGTCTTGGTTGGGTTGCCTTGAAAAGAGTGGTCATATGAGTTGTCCTTAACTGAACTATGGGGGATGTGAAAATGGGGTTGTTCTTGCTATGGAACACCACTATACTAGAGGTGTCATATTTCAAGATTACAAACCAAGGAACCAAGATATAAAATCAAGGAAAATAATTGACTGTTGGGTTCTCATACTGAAGCTTCTTCTCATACAAGGATCATGGCTTGTAAGTTTGTTAAAGCTTTGAAACTTTGGAGTAACTACATTGTATGAGTCTACTGAAATAGGATTTAAAAGCAAGGATGATGCAGCAGTTGGATTCTCTTCCTAAATCTTCTCATACCACGACCCTTTTGCGGTGAGACTTATAAATCTTTTACATTATGAATATTTTGCGGTAACTACATTGTTTCTATTATTTACTAATGGAAAAAGTTTATGTAAGTTTGCAACCTTATATTATAGAAGTAAGGTGCACCTCAAAAATCCTTCAGAAAGGAGTGTTCCGAAGTTGGAAACGTTCCAATTGATTATCTCGATCTCGAGATGTATAGATATAAAGAAAGAAGAAAAAAAATTCAGGTCCTAAAAATGCATCTTGTAACGAGTGATTTGGATCATCTACTTTCAAGATTTTCAAGTGTTTATGGATCTGCTCGATTTGCACTGTTTTTAGAATTTGAACTTTTTTTATTATGTTGGAACATGGATTTTCAAGCCGTCATAAGGTTTCCAACACAAGAACTACTTCTTCCGTAAAAATTAGAGGTGTGACTTACTTGAATAGTATATAAGATGGGCACCTTATACAAACCTCACCCTTTAGTAATTGTTTATATCTCAATATGGTGGATTGGATCCAAATATTATTATCATTATTTTTTGGTAATTTTTTGGCAACGAGACTTTTGCTGCCAAGGGTGACACTATTCCATCTTTTTAGTGATAAGCGTGGGATTCAAACCTGTTTAGAACAACATTGATAGAAGTGAAGCCTGCATTTAAATCAGGTGGTTGTTTTATAATTGGTAGTTTTCTGTTTATAGTATGTTTTGTTTCTTAACATGGCTTAGAATAGTATAAGTACTTGGTCATGTTTTGTTTATAGTAGTGTCAATCTCTTGTGAAGAAAGTGAGGTTTAATCTTCATTAAATGACTCTACTAGTTTCTAGTGGACTTTCTCAAGGAAGTGGTCACCGGGTGCCCTGAAAGGAAAAAGGTGATGTTTATTGTTTGCTCTCCCTCCACGAACTCGGTGTCTACCACCTATAAACACTCCTTGTTAAAGAACTGAGGTCAGTTCATTCATCTTCTTAATATTGCAGCCCACTGCCGCATAGTTTTCTTTCTTCTTCCATAAAACTTGGGAAGCAGAAAGGCATAGGCATCAAAGGACTTGTATTTAATGTGACAAAACTACTCTTTCGTGGATTTTGGTTACTGTGCCTGCCAATGGAACACCTATCTTTTCATATTTATGGTTACTCACTGTAGCACTAGGCCCCTTTTATAGTATCCACCTAGTTTCGTTCATCCTTTCCTTTGTGACAATCTGATCATATGTAGCTCTCAAATTAAGAATAGTATCAATATATTCTATGTGATAGTGCTTTGATGCTTCTTGTCATTCTAGGATCATGACTTTGACTTTGTTACGTCTCAAATACTTTGGACTAACTACATTGTAGATTGCAAATCTAAAACCGTGTATATGGAGCAGTTGGATTCTCTTCCTAAAGTTTCTAATACCACAATCGTTTTGCAGTTCGGATTTATAACTTTGCTATGTTCTGAATATTTTGTAGTAACTACATTATTTCTTATATTTTTTTAGTTGGTTATTTCTCAGTGGAATTGAAGTGTGGAGGGGATCCAAAATTGTTTTGTAATTTTTAGGGGTGATTTGGTTCAAGTGGAAGGCTTTAAAAAGGCAAGAAGAAAGCCTGGAAAGGCATGAATGGAAGTGCTAAGAATAGATATGGTGATTTATAGTTTGACTAAAGGTATGACGCTTGATAAAGCGAAATAGCAGAACAAGATTTGTGTAGCCGACTCCAAATAGTTGGGATAAGGCTTAGATGATGATCATCATCATTTACGTGATTGAAACCCTTTATAAAATCATTAAAATGGGCATGTGATGAACATTTAGGGGGTTGATTTTTCTTTTTCATTTCACTTAGGTACCTCCTAATAGAAAAATCTTAAAAAATTTCTAAATGGCCCTTGTTCATAATTGGAAAGCTTGAATAATATGGGAAGATTGAATAATTTGGGACATTTAAGCAATATCTTCAAGAGGCCCCAACGAAATGACAAAATACCCATCTGCTTGTTTAGAGTTATAAATAAAAATACATTGTTCTGGATTAGTTATGCAAGAGAATTTGAGGGAACAGTAAAATCAGCAAGGAACAAGCCAAACACAAGCACAAGTCGAAGAAACCCAGGGTTTCTTCTCCGTACCCCAAGCTAGAGTTCCAGAAGCCTCATATTTTCTCTCTTTTAATTTCAAAAAATCATGTGGACTTGACTGCCTCAAGGCCCCGCACACCTCTTATATATTATAATATAATATTTTAAGTGTCCAAACAAATAATACTTTAACCCATATATTCTAACTTAACTTAAAGTTCATAATGATAATTTTACGCTTGTGAACAGTACTCATGAATAGTATTTGTGAATAAACTTATGAAAAAAATAAAAAAATATAAAAACCTTAAAATTTTGAAGAAAATCCAAAACCCCTAGAAATAAACTCTAAAGCTAAGACTATAATATATGTCATTTGAAATTAAATAAAAATAAATAATAATAATAATTTTGCCCTCCATCATTTTCCTCTGGTTGGAGAAAACTCGACCTCGAGTTATGAAGTGTCCTAAGATGAATTCAGCATCAAAACCACCTCCTTCAACCTTATTTTTCTTTGTCGGCTCAAATATTATTTGGGGTAAAAATAATTTCACAAGAAATGGATCCTGATATGTATATTAAGGAATCAATACAAATTTATCAAATTCAGATTTTTGAACTTCCATTGAAAATCATGTAAGATACTCCAAACTCAAATTAGTGCCACAATTTGCGGCTTATGAGTTAACGACATTTCATTTGTGCATCTCTAATTCTAATATCCTAAATTTCGTGAATACTCTACCTCTTTGAAATTAATGAGATTTTCAAAGGCCATAATTTGGATATTAATATAAACTTACTATTAAAATTTCTATCTCCATATTCTTCAGTCTCTTTCAAAATGTCTCCATCATCATCTTGATCCTTATCATAGATTGAATCTCTTAAGAAATCTTGTTGTTCATCTGAGTATACAGCAAAGATTTGTGGTGAATCCTAATGTACACCTTATTGATTTTCGATGCAATCTGTGTTAAAAAAAAAAAGTCTCATCTTTCAAATCGAAAACCGTAGAGGGATGAACCCACGTCTAGGTCTTTGGGCGCTATCCTCATCACTTGACTCAACACGCAGAGCGTAAAAGTGAAGAGGCTTGTGCTTGAGATCCTCTTGGGTTGAAGGATCATTGTTTTATCTATTATTGAGGCTCGTTAATTGTTGCATCACTAGCTGAACTTGCCTTTCAAGTTCCTCAATTCTGTCATCTATGAAATCACTGAGCAGATCTTGGAAAATTCCCCTTCTAAGGTCCCTGCTCGTTGTCTTGGGTTCGTCGAAATCACAAACCCTGAGCAAATAATCAACAAAGAAACTGCTGAAATCAACAAGATCTAGGTTGTTGTTTTGGCAAAACTTTGGCCAAAAATCAAAAACCCTAAACCCTTATTATAACTGCCCTGCTTTGTTGTTGACCTAGAGCACCAACAAAAATTGATGCTACAATAACTCTGTACAGTGATATAGTAACTATATACAGTGCTATAGTACCTTCCGTGTAGATCGAGGTCTCTGATACCAATTCGATGCATGAGAATTTGAGGGAATAGTAAAATCAGTAAAGAAGAAGTCAAACACAAGCACAAATCAAAGAAACCTAGGTTTTCTTCTCCATACCCCAAGCTAGGGTTTCAAAAGCTTAAGCTTTTCTCTATTTCAATTTCTCAAGGTACCACACGCCTCTTATATATTATAATTTAATATTCCAAGCACAAAATTGTCCAAACAAATAATACATTAACCTATATATCCTAACTTAACTTAATATTCGTAATGACAGTTTTACCTTGTGAACAGTACTAGAGAATAGCGTTTGTGAATAGTACTCATTAGTAAAAAAAAAAAAATCCTAAAATTTCTAAAAAAATCTAAAAACCCCTAGAAATAAACTTAAAAACTAAAAATTTAAAAAAACAAAAAAAAAAAAAAGTTTAGATAAGGATGCTGCCTTATAATGTAGAACTACGGATGCCCCTAAAAAATCCATCGGAAAAGGTAGTTTTAATGTTGAAAAAACCTTTGATTGATCATCTCGACATCGAGATGTATGACTATGAAAAATAAAAGGATTTGAAGTCTTAGAAATAGTGCATTTTACAACATATTATCTACACCGTCCATTTTCAAGATTTTCATGTGTTTATAGATTTACTTGATTTTAACCATTTTTTAAATTTAAAATTTTATAATTAGATATAAAAATAGGTTTTGAGATAATCTTAAGAAGATTTAACGTCAAAATTATATACCATGATAAAATTTGAAGGTGCACCTTACCTCTACACCTACAAATGCATCCGTATGCAAACTGCACCCTAAAAATAATTTTATCCTCCATCAGGTAGTAATGAGGAACAACAATGAGAAACAACTAGGTAGTTTTGTCATTTGGCAACTAAATTCCTTTCATGTGTTAAATTACATGAATGCCCCTATTTGTTCCTCATTTGGAATCCCCTGTTGCTTATTACAGGGGTATTTTATGTCATTTGGTTGAGGCCTCTAGGGCGGTCAAATTATGGAAATGCCCCTTGACTGGTTTAAACAAAGGGAATTTGGAAACTTTTTGAGATTTTTTTGTGGAGGTATTTTAGTAAAATAAAAATGATAAAGCAACACCTCAACTATTATTCGTGGTCATTTGACCCTCTAATGATTTTTTAAGGGATTTCAACCTCTTAAATGGTAGTTTCTTTTCGACAATTAAGTCTTCGCTACCGATGGTTACATGAACGACATGAATGATGCTAGAGTGCGATCCTCTTTTTTTTATAGTTATAAGCATGGTATTTGAACCTAGAGGTTAACAACTCCAAAATATTTTGGACCAAGGTCTTAAAAATTACCGATCAGGATTGGAATTGCTTGGTAAGATTGGGATCGGTTGATTTTCGGTCGATTTTTGTCCCAGAATCGGAAACGGCAAGGTTATTCCTTGTAGCGAATCACCAATTCTAGGCCTGAAATTGGAAATCTTTCGATGAAAAATTAAGCGTTCCCCCGAAATAGACTTTTGAAACCTATGGAGGACGTCCAACGAGTTCGCAGATCTCTTGGCGAAAAAGGGAGCTAGAATCCAAGTAGAAAATCAAGCCAGGCCCGACTCCTTTCTTGCTCAGGACCACATGCACATAGCATAAACACTTTGTATTTGGGCACCTTGCAGCCCTGCTTTATTTTTTGAAAGCTACAAATAAATCTTTGTAATGGGGCGGTTCCTATAAGCCCCTATTTGTACATGACAGGCTAACGCATTTTTTACCGAGTCACCCCAAGTGGCGACATCGGACTCGCATATCCATGTAAACATCTCTCCTCAGTAATACAATGTTTACCTTCTCTCAAAAAAAAAAAAAAACCTCCTTTTTAGCTCTAATTATTCATTCTCTTTATTTTTCCATCATTTTGCATCTACTTTTCTCAAAAATCATCTATATTGATTGTCTTTAAATACACCACAAGATCCATAACAAGATTTTTTGGGTTCACAAAATCAAAAGTTGAAATTTTGGGAATTTTTTTCAATTTAGTTATTTGTTTATCCATTAAGTTTTTGACTCACTGGTTTTTTTCCACTTACTAAAAAACGACTTGATTCAAAAAACAAGTTAATAAAAAAAATGCTTGATTTTTGAATCACTGGTTTTATAATATAACCAGTTTAATCTTATTTTATTTTTCACAGATCGAACTGTTTTTCTAATATGTTTTGAATCTTTTGATAGTTTAATAGGTAGCTTGAATCTAGAATTAAATTGGGTATTCGGCACTGGTTTAGCCACTGTTTTGATTTCAGGCTATGAAATTTAAAAATTTGTAACTTTGAAATTTTAAATTTGATAAATTTTAATTCTTTAGTAATTTTTGAATTTGAGAGTCTGAAGATTTTAAAATATGAAGGTTTACCCTATAAATCTTTGAAATCTGAGCAGATTTTAAATTTAAAAATTTAACATATGAAAAACTTTAATTCTTGACTTTAAGATTTTTCAGGCTGAAATATTTAAAATTTCAAGCATTTTTCAAATGTTTTTTTTTTTTGGGATATTTCTGCTGAAAAAGATGAAAGATTTCCACCTGAAAAACCATTTTTTAGGTCCTTTTTTCAGATTTAAACCACTTTGAGCTATTTTAAAATCGAGATTTTAAACACCCAGGTCACTATGGTTTAAATCTCTGAGGGGCATTTTTTAGGTAGAAATTTAAATATGAAAACTTTTATTTTAAAATCAGAAACCAATTTTTGAAATGTACTTGTCTAACCTCAAAAATGGCAATTTATTTCATAAACATAAACAAAACTCAATTCTTATTTGAATTGCCTTTTTTGAGATTCTATTTTTTAATCCGATTTAAAAATCACCATTTCCTATAGGAAACTCTTCATTTTTGTTTTATTCGTTAAATCAGATTTATGTTTATCAAATTAAATTGTTTTATTCATTTCTTTTTCTCTATGTTTGAAAAATCGATTAGTTTTTCTTTTAATCAGATCAATGTTTGTCAAATCGTTTTTGAAGTGATGTTAACATAAAAAAACGTCATAGATTTAAATCTGTCACCTTTTACTTCTTAGAAAACAATCATTGCAACAAGTACTTTAAATAATGGTTTGCAGTCTCAACCCAGTTTCGTTCATCCTTTCCTTTGTGGCAGATTGACAATTTGTAGCTCTCATGTGAATAATAAGCAATGTTCAAAAAAGCTCCCCCCCCCCCTTTTCCCCCTCTCGCCCTTGCCAAAACAAAAGGTCTAGGAAGTTCTTAAGGCAAGATTTAAGGCATACGGAGTTTTTAGAGCAATTTTAGAGCCCCGAAGCCTTTGTGATAAAGAAAAAACAAATATTACACAACAAATTTACAGATAATAAAGACTCAAAGAGATTGTAAGATGCATCAAATTGCTTGAAATCCCAAATGTCTAGAAATAATACATACAACAAAGTCACAAAAGGGTTACTCGGCCATGCATCAAAATCAACAAGACAAAAACAAATAACAAAAACATGTCACCACCCTAAAAATCAAATATCAACCAGACAAATCTATGGCATCGCCTCAGCATTAGGGTTGAGTGTTACATTGCATTGGTTGAATGCAGCCATGAAACCTGCTATGTATCCCACGATCTATGAAAGAGTGACCAGGGTTAAAGTAGTATCCTGCTAAGTATAAGAGCCTTTCAAGCTGGTAGTTCCATTTATCTTCAATAATCTTCAAACAATCTTCATATTTTTCTTATCATGCCTAAAAAATCTCTTGATTTTTTCCTTTGCATCCTCCATGGCTTTATAGATGTGCCCCATAGCTGGTTTCTTCTTAGCATCAAACATTGTAGGAACCTTTACTAAAGGCTGGTAGTTCCATTTATCTTCAATAATCTTCATATTTTTCTTATCATGCCTAAAAAATCTCTTGATTTTTTCCTTTGCATCCTCGATGGCTTTATAGATGTGCCCCATAGCTGGTTTCTTCTCAGCATCAAACATCATGGGAACCTTTTCTAAAGGGAAAAAGACATATAAGGCATATTGGACCTTATTCCAAAATCTTGAGTCCATGATAATATCCAGAACAACTTTTCCATCAGTTTGTGTTGACCACTTGAAATTGGTCCAATCCTCAGATATAATCGTGGTCCTCAAGGACAAGTAGAAGGTGGAAAATCTAGTCACCCCAGGCCTCACCAAGTCTCTATTATTATTGAACTTTCTCATCATGGCTAAGACCTTACCATTACAAGCCCTAAACCATCAAATGCCATCTATGATATGGCTTTATCAAAACCACCATCTGTGAAATTTACCATCAATCAAATACCCCTCGATTGTACACAAGCAAGACCTTCTTTGACCTTCCTCTCTAGCATCCGCCTTCCTCCCTCCCTCTGTGATTCTCTCCCCATGGTCTCCTCCTGCTCCCATATCGCCCTACATAACTCATATGATAAATCAAACCAACAACAAGATCATTCCCTCCTCCTCCCCTCCCCTCCCCTTCTTTATTTTTTGCCCCAAAAAAGCTACCCCCTTTGACATCTCCAACTCCTCTCCAATCAATGGCCTCCCCCCACAGTCCATCCTTTTTCCACCACCCTACCCTGATATAGTAGATGCCTACTTTATGTTTGCCCACTATTACCCAATTCTACCCGCATTACACACCTTTCACGTGGCCCCAAGCTTCTTGTACTAACATTGCCTCCTTCCCCCTAATCCAACTCTTCTAGCACCCTCCCTCCCACTCAAAAACAAAGAAAATGCTGACTCCAACTCATCAAACCTACACCACTGTGCATCCAATCAACCACCACGAGCACCCTAGCTGTTCCAAAGATACTAGCTGACCTAAACCCTACCCAACCCAACCCCTGCTGCTAACAAATTTTTGAGCCACTCCAATGGCAGTACAACAGCACCCTAGTGCCTAAAACTTGGAGAGACAAGAACCCCTCAAATTCCTTAGCAAACCCCACTCACTTCCATTCCATTGTTGCTGAGATTCAGATTTTCCGTTATCCTCATCCCTTGGAATAAACCCCAAAACTCAGAAATGATCATCAACTCTTATGATGACTACGAGCCATCAGAAGAATCAGACATCGAATTGTACTATGCTGATTCCGAGGAAATCAAGAGGATCAACAGAGCCCAAGAGGACATCCACAAGGTGTTTAAATCTATGGGACTGCACTGTGATTGGTCAGAGTGATATCAAAGACTTCCTCAAATCCAATTCTACCACCGACTTTCAGGAAAGAGGAAAAGGGCCGAGACAGGTTTGTAATCTCTCATTCAGAGTCAGATATGAGGAGGACCGCAATTCTTCCTATAATCCTTTTCTTGGCTCACCTTGCTTGTGTTGCTCTCTTAAGCACCTGGCCACTCCAAGTCCCGCCATGAAGAGAATAGTTTGACACATAAGGGGTTTGGCTCACCTCACTCTTGTTGCTCTTTTAGGCTCTTGGCCACTCCAAGCCCCTCCAACTGTGTCGCCTACGTCCATGGCTCCCTCCGATGGGGTTCCCTCTCTGCCTTGCCTCCCCACATCCGCATCCCCCTCCCTAACAATACCTGAGCTTGCCTCATACATTGCAGCATCCCCTCCCTCACCATGTGACCTCTGGCTCCCCATCCTCTTCCTTCCCAGTCTCCTCCTTTTCCCCAATCTTTGAAATCTATGTCCACCTGGTCCATCCCCCCAAATCAACCTAGGTCAATACCCTTAGCCTTACACCCTTAACCCCTTCCTTGTCCCCCTCCCCCACCTCCACCTCCACCTCCACCTCCACCTCCCTCCTGCTTACTCTGTTCTCGATTCCTATTGGTGGCAAACACTCCACCTTCATTGAACGAACCATGAAATTCCCCCTGGTGGACCACTTCCAACCTCACAAAGATGATGTCAATGGCATCAAGAGATGGAGTAGAGATCTATGGGTTGCATTGGACCTCCCATGCTGTAGACTTTCATCAGGTGACTTTCTATTCTCTTTCCCCTCTGAGGAAGGCCTCCTCAGAGCTCTCTGTAGCCCTAACCCTCATTTCAAAGGTGCAACCCTTTCCCTTCAATAGTGGAACAAGGAGATGGCTTCTATTAAACCCCAAAAAAATGTGGCTGAGAATCTCCCACATCCTTCTTTAAGCTTGGCACGTCGCCACTTTCAAATGGATTGGCAAGGCCTGTGGGGTGTTCATCATGATCCAGAAGAAATCCTCTGGTTTCTTACCCCTCAACATCATTCAACTTTTATTGGAAACCATTATCCCCTCTCTCATTCCTCCATATATCTGGTTGGATGTCCCCTCCCCTTCCTCCTCCCCCTCCCCCCCCCCCCCCCTTTCCTCTCGCAACGTCTATGAGCACAAGGACCCTGTAGCTAGTCCCATGGTCCAGGATCTCGACCCTCTTGTGAGTTAAGCTGGTGGTTGGACTACGATCGCTCGTAGACATCCGCCTCAGCCCCATCACAATCGTCGTTTTGCAAATCCAACACACAGAGGTGTTCCCAAGCTCAATCCACAAAGGATCCCCTCCCCGCCTCAAAACCCTTTCCTCTTCCTTGTTGAGGCATGTGTTAACCCTCCTTGTGTCACTTGGGCCCCTTTAGACCTGTGCAAGAGGCTCACATTATCAAGCCCCTTGAGAGTCTCATAGTGTCACAATGTGACACTTCCTTGTTTGCATGCCTGCCTTTACGTGCTCAACATGTTTCCCATCCAGCTCTCTCACCCCTTTCTTTTAGCCTGAGTGAGGCCGCACCATCTTTTCTTGCGGACGGACCTCATATGGCCCTTCAGATTGAGACAACTGGCCCTCCTCTTCATGTATGCCGCTATAATTTCCCTCCTCACGTGATCTCTCCCCTCCCCATCGCCACTTCCGAAGAACACCTCCCATGTGGCTCGCCATGGGCTGTATGATTCCCCAGCCTCGTAACTGTAGCCATCCCCGCCCTTGGCTTTTACTGCCATACCTATGATAGCTGGACATTATCTCACATCTACAACCGCCCATCCCACACCTTCTTTCTCCATCTCAGTTATCCTCAACTCCCCCCTTGGCTGGTGCCTCTTCCCCTGACGTCGCCCCTACCTAGTCGACCTCCCCTTCTTCTTGTTGCCGTTGCCCATCCTCCTCTCCCCTTGGAGTGGGTCTCTCCTCCGTCCCCACTCTCCTTCTCCCCTCCCCATTCCTCAGCCCTGCCTTGCCTCTTCCAAGGGTTTCTCTTAGCCCCCCTACCATCCCTGACCCCCCTCCTCCATCAGCCTCTTCTATTCCTCCCTTGGCCTACTGTCACTAGACCACTTGTGGTTCTCATTAGGCTCTTTGTCCCCCCCCTCCTCCCTCATCCCTCCTCCTCTGACCTGCCCCTTCCCCATCCCCATCCCCATCCCCATCCCCATCCCCCTCACTCTTCTTCCCTCCTCCATTACATATCTGGGCCCCCCCTCAATCCTATCACCTCGCGGCCCTTCACCTGGTTGCCTACAAGCCCCACCACCTTTCTCCCCTATGTTCTCAACCTGCATCCCTCCATACCCCATTTCAATAGCGCCTTATCCCTCACCCCCAACCCTCTCTCCCCTGACCTTCCTTCTTCTCCCACCCCTTTAGGCTTCCTTCCCACAACCCCCATCTTGCATGAGGACCCTTTGACTTCCCTTTCTGGTGTTCTCACGCCCCCCCAATCATTAGGGTCAGCCTACAATCTTCACAGATTACCCCCATGCCCTCTTCCTTGCCCCTTCCCAGCTGGGTAAGGATCCCCTCTTCCTATTTCGGCTGCATGTTGACCAACTCTAAACCAGCGCCTCCCTTTCCCCCTCCCTCTTAGCCTCCCATAGGCCACTTTCACCATCCTCCTCTATTGACTTATAGCCCCACCCACCACCAAGAACCCTCCTCTCCACCCCTAACTTTTGTAGACAGTGTCCAAACACTATCAGTGGCATTGGTGGACTCAAACTTTGTAGAGCACTTAGACAAAGCTCAATGGGACCTTCATGAGGTGCTCAAAGTCATGGGCCTCAAGTATGACGGCCCAAAAGAAGCCCTTTAAGCCTTCATTAGAGCAGATGCCCAAACCAGAAAGAAAACAAGATCCAAAGGCAAGGTTGTAGCTGTTAGTTCCAATGGCAGCCGGGAACTCTATAACCCCTCATTTGGTGTAAATTATTATAGAGGGGAGCCCTCAGCCTCTCTGCCCCCCCCGTTCATTTGAGAGATATGGGGCTGTGCTCGAAGCCCAAGGGGCCTTTAGGGGTATCTGGGTCCTTTAAGATCTGACCATTTGCTCCCAAAACGTGGAGTTTCCAACCCGACAACATTTGCTCCCAAAACAAAGCCCTGCTTTGGTCCATTCACTCTTGAATTCAATAAAAGAAACCAGACCCCTCTCCCCTAGTGAAAGTAAGCTCTGCTCTCAAGCTAAACTTGACTATCAGCTCGTCGCTCGTAAGGAAGAGAATTATTGGTCTCAAAGAGCCAAGTTCAAGTGGCTCAAACTCAGAGATCTCAACACTGCCTATTTCCACAAGGTAGCAAATTGCCGAAGACATGAGAATTCCATCTCCCACATCAAAGTGGGGCACCGTGTCCTTGACCAACCCCTTGTCATCGAACAGGCTGCCATCAACTTCTTCTCCTTCCTCATTTCCACTCCCTCGGGCCCAAACTCAGAGATCTCAATACTACCTATTTCCACAAGGTAACAAATTACCAGAGGCACGAGAATTCCATCTCCTACATCAAAGTGGAGGACCTTGTTCTTGACCATTCCCTTCTCATCGAATAAGTTACCATCGACTTCTTCTCCCTCCTCTTTTTCACTCCCTCAGGCCCCAGACCTGCCATGATCGGTATCTCTTTTACCTGCCTACCGCCTAATTTATCAGAATGGTTGGAATGCCCATTCACAGAGGACGAAATCATTGGAGAAATTAATGACCTTTGCTCCGATCGAGCCCGAAGACCTGATGGTTATCCTGTCCCTCTTTCAAATCTTTCTAGGACACCTTGAGGCATGACATCATTGTATTGTTTGAGGAATTTTACTCCTTAAGGTATCATTCATAAGGCCATGAAGGCTACGTTCATAGTGCTAGTACTTAAGTTGGAAGGGGCAAAAGAACTCAAAAATTTCAGGCCCGTTAGCTTTATTAATATCTCTTACAAGATCTTGTCTAAGGTCTTGGCGTATCGACTCAAGGCTGCCCTTGGCTGAGTTAAAGGGCTTTCGGTAAAGATCGCCAAATCCTTAACAGAACCCTAGTAGCCCATGAATGCATTCACTCATGTCATCTTTCCAAAACTCCTGGCTTAGGCATGCAACTTGACTAGGGGAGAGCCTACGATCATGTAGACTGGAGCATTGATTAGACCCTCCTCAGAATGGGCTTTGGTGCTAGAGGTGGATCCATGGCTGTATTTCTAGTCCCTTCTTTTCAGTGTTCATCAATGGTTCCCCTAAGCGATACTCTCGAGTGTCGAGAGGCCTAGGCAAGGGTGATCCTTTAGTGTCGTTCCGCTTTGCCATCGTAGCTGAGGTTTTCAATGTTTTTATCTCTAGGATGTATCGAGTGGGCCTCCTCACAGGCTTCCATACAAGAAGGCTGGGACCTGTCATTTCCCATAGCAAATACATAGATAACATGCTTCTTTTTTGCGATACCTCCTGGCAACAGGTCAACTACCTCCTTTTTCTCCAATGCTTCAAGTTGGCCGCTAGTTTCAGAGTCAATATGGCAAAATCTAAGATGATGGAGGTATGCATCGACAACCTGTTAGTCCAAATCCTTGCTGACAAGTGGGGCTGCTCAATAGACGACCTCCTTCCACTTACTTGGGATTCCCTTTGTGCCTCGGATTGCTGAGACTCAACCAATGGATCTCTGTCTTTGACAAGTTCGTTCGGCAGCACGCAGGCTGGAAAGGGAGGTTTCTCTCCTCTGCTGGCAAATTCCGCATCAAGGCAACTCTCTCGAGCATCCCCATATTTCAAATGTCCCTCTTTAACATGCCTACCTCTGTTGTTGCCAGGCTGGAGACACTAATGCGGGACTTCCTTTGGTCAGGAGAAGGAGGGCACAAGTTCCATCTCATCTCTTGGGCTAAGGTGTGTACACCAAAAGAGCAAGGAGGTCTGGCCATTTGTAGTCTTAAGTTTAACCATAGTTACCAGGAGCGCTCAACTAGGGTGGCACTCTCGCTTTGGAACCCAGCTCCGTGCTCTGTGGTCGAGATCTCGTCCGGAACTCGTTCCTAACATTTTGGGAGCTCACTCCTATTAGGATTCTCGATCCCATTCACAACGGAGCTCGCTCCTCCTATCGCATGGATCTATCTCCTACTATCCCACATAACTCATTCCATAATATTGTAGACGTGGTTCCCGAACAAATTAGATCCCCACTCCCAAAATTTTAGGATCGTGATCCCTACGTTCCCAGAACTCTATCCTTGGGGAGGATCCCACCATGAATAAAAATAGAGCCACCCACCGTTAAAACAATAGGGTTATCAGATAAAAAACTCATAGAAATTGGGCCTCCAAGACTCAATGCAGCTATTCTAGCCCTAATTCCACATATCCTCCATTAAAAGTTGCTTTTCTAATCCCTTACAAAGGTTTTTCATTTGAATTCCTATAGAAAATTAGTCACCCCAATTCTTGAATTCGTCAAGGTCAGCTTTTATAACATACCTGATATCCTCTTGTATATTTAGGTTTTCATGGCTTCCATGTAAAATGAACAGCTTCCCATTTGATTTCTCTGTGTTTTGCATGAGTTTTTTTAAAAAATAAAGGAGCTTGAGCTCTTCTCCTCCTCTGTCAAGGATATCACCAAGCTTCACAACCATGGAATTGCCTGCAATCCAGGGATCGTTTGCATCAACGATTTTAGCCATTTTCAGAGCTTGTTTGGCCTTTTGGAGATCTCCATGGAGGTCCCCAACTGCTAGCAAACAAGGTTGAGATGGGTATGTAGATTTTTGTTATTGTTGTGCTTTCTGAGGAGAGAGAAAGAGTCCGTTCACTATGAAGTTGACAAATGTGTTCATGACGTTAGAGTGAGAGAGGGCATGTCTTGCCAGATGGGTCCATTGGATCAAGGGTGCGGAGGTTGAAGAGGTGGTGAATGTGAAGATCTGGTCGAGAGAGAGAGAAAACAGGTGGAGATTGGCTCCAGGTTAAGCGGAATGCGATCCAACATTGAATGGAGCTCGATCCATTCCAAATAGAAACGCATTTTTTTAGATGGGGGCGCGACTCAACTTTAAATGGGATCTCGTTCCTGTTGTCTATGGGAGCGCGATCCTAATGAACATGGGAACGCGATCTCATTTTACATGGAACACATTCCCGTTAAATAAGGATCTTGATCCCAATGTATCGGGAACACGCTCACTGTTCATACGGGATCTCAATCCACAACTTTTATCCTCACCGGAACTCGTTCCCTGAGCTCCGGAAGTTTAAGCAGCCGTCGATCTGACAATCCCACTCCTGGTAACTATGAGTTTAACAATATGCATTTCTAGGAAAATGGTGGTGGTGTTTTGCCACGCAACCCAATCATCTTTGGAAAGATGTTATTTGTCGCAAATACTACCCTGGATCATGCTTGGCTCCCAACGTGAAGGGGCAGGGGTAACATCTCAGGCTTTTGGGGATCCCTCCTCCACAGCCACAACCTCTTCTTAGATCAAATATGTTTTCGTTCGAAGGAGGGTAAGAGGGTCTTGTTCTGGTCCGACACCTAGGTAGGACATGCTCCACTTAGGAACTAGTTCCCATGCCTCTTCCTCTTCCTCTTCCTCCTCTTCAAAACCAGTGATTCTCGCTCTACAGTGGCCGATAAATTTGTTAGATCAGGGCCTGCCAAAATATGGAACCCCAATACAGGAGGCCCACAAGATGGAAGAGTTTTTCAAGTTGGCAGCTCTCCTCCACGCGGTACCCTACTCTCTGTTGGGGAAAACAAGATTGTTTGGTCACCGGTTTCATATGGGGGCCTTTTCTATGGTTGCTTCCTATCCTATCATCATCTTGCCACATACCTCCTTGCTGGCCCCCCCTGTCCCCTTGGATGTCTTGGCAGATGGGTCCATTGGATCAGGGGTGCGGAGGTTGAAGAGGTCGTGAATGTGAAGAGGTGGTGAATGTCTGGTCGAGAGAGAGAGAACAGGTGGAAATTGGCTCCAGGTTAAGCGGAATGCGATCCAACATTGAATGGAGCTCGATCCATTCCAAATAGAAACGCTTTTTTTTAGATGGGGGCGCGACTCAACTTTAAATGGGATCTCGTTCCTATTGTCTATGGGAGCGCGATCCTAATGAACATGGGATCGCGATCTCATTTTACATGGAACACATTCCCGTTAAATAAGGATCTTGATCCCAATGTATCGGGAACGCGTTCACTGTTCATACGGGATCTCAATCCACAACTTTTATCCTCATTGAAACTCGTTCCCTGAGCTCCGGAAGTTTAAGCAGCCCTCGATCCGACGCTCCCACTCCTGGTAACTATGAGTTTAACAATATGCATTTCTAGGAAAATGGTGGTGGCGTTTTGCCACGCAACCCAATCATCTTTGGAGAGATGTTATTTGTCGCAAATACTGCCCTGGATCATGCTTGGCTCCCAACGTGAAGGGGCAGGGGTAACATCTCAGAGTTTTGGAGATCCCTCCTCCACAGCCGCAACCTCTTCTTAGATCACATATGTTTTCATCCGAAAGAGGGTAAGAGGGTCTTGTTCTGGTCCGACACCTAGGTAGGACATGCTCCACTTAGGAGCTAGTTCCCATGCCTCTTCCTCTTCCTCCTCCTCCTAACCAGTGATTCTCGCTCTACAGTGGCCGATAAATTTGTTAGATCAGGGTCTGCCAAAATATGGAACCCCAATACAGGAGGCCCACAAGATGGAAGAGTTTTTCAAGTTGGCAGCTCTCCTCCACGCAGTATTCCTACTCCCTGTTGAGGAAAATAAGATTGTTTGGTCACCGGTTTCATAGGGGGCCTTTTTTGTGGCTGCTTCCTATCATATCATCATCTTGCCACATACCCTCCTTGCTCTCCCCCCCCCCCCTTCACATTCTATTATAGCTAAAGTGTGGCTTTCCTTCATTCCACCCAATATTCAAGTCTTTTGCTGGGTTGCCCTTTATGAGAGAGCCTTAACCAGTGATCAAATCTAGAAAAGGGGCATCCCATTACCCAATTGATATGCCATATGTTTGGAGGCTGAAGAAACCAACGCACATCTCTTCATTCATTGTGAAATTGCTTCGGCCCTATGGAGCGACCTACTCCGTCTGTACTTTTGTCCTTGGTGACCCCTCAATCAATCCCTTCTGTCTTTTCCACCTTCCTCAACATCCCTTGTCTCAGGTCAGGCTACCTCCTGTGGTGGGCCTTGATAACCGCAATGCGGTTGGTTATTTGGCTCGAAAGGAATAACAGAATTTTCAGGGAGGAGAGAGCCACAATCCCTACATTGATCGAAAAAGTCAAAACCCTAGTCTCATTTTGGTCCAAAAATCACAAACGTTTTAGAGATTTCTGCCATACTGATTTCCATCACAATTGGCAGGCCCCTTTGAACGTGAGACCCTTAAGGATCTCACATGCATCTCTGTGGAGACTGCTCAAAAGTGGTCAAACAAAGCTAAGCTTCGACGTTGCTCTCTTGGAAACCCGGTATCATCCGTCATTTATGGTATATTCAGAAACATGGACAGCACTGTTCTTCTCTCTTTCTCCCTCCTTATTGGATTTGTGGACTCTACATTTGCGGAGGCTCTTGCTTTCTTAGAGGGTCTTCAAAATTTCAACCCTAGCTAGAATTCAAAATTGGTAGCCGAGGGTGACTCAGAAATGTCATTGCTCTGCACCTTGCCCTTGGAGACACGACCATATCTTCGATGAAATTTTACAGATATGCAGGACTACATGCATCACTTGGCGGCATACCTTTAGGGATGCCAATGCGGCTGCCAACGCTTTTGCTAAGGAAGGAGCAAGACTTAGCTCCTCCATGGGAATTGTTGGCAATTTTTTGAGCATGTAGTCCCCATTCTTGTTACAATCATTTTGCTAGTCTTGTTGTAAAGCGTTCTTTGGGCCTAAACGGGTTTCTGTACAGCGCACCCATGACCTAGGTTGCATATTTTTTGTATACGCTCATGTTTTAAATCTCTTTATTACTGAATACAATAGTCAACAGAACAAACTATTCCAGAAAAAAACATAATAGGTTTGGGAGACCCCTGTAAGAAGAAGGTATTAGCACTATTAAATGTTTTGTCCTTTGCATTTAAGATTCATATTCTTATGTCTATAAATTTATGTAAGGAAAATGTTTATATAAGGGTGAGGCCCTAAACAATCAAATTAAGACTCACATAAAAAATTCACTAGAAGAGTTTGTTTCAATACCCAAAAATCCTCAAATCATTCATCAAGACCGCGAGATGTATGGACATGAAAAATAATGGATTTCAAGTCTTAGAAATAGTGCATCTTGTAATGTGTTTTCTAGACCGTTAATTTTCAAGATTCATAGATTTGCTCGATTTTTACTAATTTGAAGCTTTAAACTTTACAATTATAAATGAAAATGAATTTTAAGGATGTTACCAAGATTTGCAGTACCGAAACAACGTCTTTCAATACTATTTGAAGGTGCGCCTAACTTTGATTGTTTAGGGCCTCAGCCTTATACAAACCACACCCTCTATGTAGTAGCCCTCATTGTAATTTCTCATGTACATAATGATATAAGAATACATTGCTTTATACTCGAACACTTTTATCAGGTGGTCTTGTCATTCGAATTATTGGGCAGTTGAATTCTGCCCCCTTGGGAAAATGGTGATGGCACTATGCTGCTCAAGAAAACCATCTGTGGCAAGCACTTGGCAGGCATTAAGTATCACCTCGAATGCAATGTCCTCGGGGGCATAGCACTCTATAGGGGCCAGCATTAACCAGTTCATGAAAAACATTTGCTTTAGCACCAGATATGGTGAGCGTATTAGTTTTGGGAAATGATCTCTCGATTGGGGATTTCCCCCTCCAAAGTCTATTCCAATCACTTTTCATTTTGGCCAACCAACGTAGATGCAATGGTGGCTCAATCCCTCAAGACATTGGAGATATCAGGAGCATGGTTCCCAAATTTTTGGAAGGCGCTGCAGGAACACGAGCACGTGGAGTTTGCTGCCCTTTCAGCCTTTCTTCAGATTCCCTACCTACCTACAAGGGTACATCACAAAATCATTTGTATTCCCTCCCAAGGAAAGTTCATGATGTCATCCTTCTATGGCACATTTAGACACCCTCCCCTCACCATGCTGAAACCTGTTCCCCTAACAGACTTTCAGTTCGATCGCCATTCCAAAAGAGCACTCATGGTGGACCAAATACAATGGAGAGGGATCCCCTTCTCTAATCAATGTATCATGTGCGTAATAGCTTAGGAATAAACTAGCATCTCTTCCTCCATTGCTAGTGGCTGTGGCTCTATGGGCCGATCTGCTACAAATATTTCAGTCGTCTTGGGTACGAGCGATATCTATCCCACAACCGTTTCAAGCCCTACTGTCTCCACCATGCTCGACCGTTGGTTGTTTCCTTTGGAGAGCTTCTTTAACAGCAACTATTTGTGTGCTATGGACCAAAAGAAATGCTGGAATCTTTGAATGAAAGGAGGGCAATATCAAGGTGCTTAAAGATCGTATGAACTCAAGGGTGTAAGCTTTTGAGCAAAAAATACTAAAGCATTCAAATTCCACACCAACAGACTTCTTCAACACTTGGCAAGCAATGATAAAAGCAAGGTGAATTCCAGTTTCCACTGGAAAATGAGAAATAAGACTAAAGTTTGATGGCCGGTCATGTGGTAACCCTGGCCCTTGGGGATTATTCATAGACCAAATTGGTGGTATTCTCAATTCCTACTCTGGTTTCATCAGGCATATTGATTCGATTATGGCGCAAACTGGGGCCCTACAAGAGGGTATCATCTCTTTAGTGATAGAGGTGACTCTGGGCTTCTGATGCTTCACCATGCCCTTGGCACCTCGAACACATTTTTTACGAGATACTTGATCTATGTAGGCACTTTAAATTCTCCTTTCAGCATGTATGGCTGAAGGCCAACGCCACTGCTGATTCACTCGCTAAAGAAGGAGCTTCTGGGTAAATGTTCATGGAACTCTTTTGGCAATTTTTTTTAGCTCAACTCGACTTAAGATTTTGGTTTCTTTTAGTGATTTTCAGGAGTTCACCAACCCTACTCTCAATGCAGAGTGCATCCCATTTTGTGATCTATAGAGCAACCTACGCTCAATGCAGAGTGCGTCCCATTTTGTGATCTATAGAGCACCTGACTTATGGGATGTCATGTTTTGAATACTGTAGTTACCTCTTTATCTACATACAACAATTAACGTTTACTCAAAAAGTAGGTTTAAAGAACCTCTTATTCTTATGCCTTTCTTTTTAATCTAAACCCTTCTTCATTTATTTATCATTCTTTTTTTCCTTAATTCAATAGTGCAGGTGCTTATGCAAATCAAAAGTGATTCGAGTAGTTCTCATGTGCTTCCTCTTCTACTGATGCTGAAATGGAGGAGGGCTTGCCGCAGCCTACTAGCTGGCGTAGAGTAACTCTTCTTTGTCCGATTGTTGCTAGTCTAGCAGTAGCATTTAGAAGAGGCCAACTGTAAATTTGTGGGACCCAGTGAAAACATTTCATTAGTTTTGCAGATCTTCTACTCGACCATGAAGCTCAAAAGAAAATGTCAGTCTCGATTGGCCCTCAACTCTGAAGAAATCCAAGCTCTCGAGGATCACCATGATGGATTGTCAAATAAATTAAGAAAAATGACTGCTTGGTGTATACTTTGGGCCTATTTCAAATGAGAGAAGTTGTGGGCTAGAGAGAGTTGCAATATTATGTTACTGCAAACTAATCCAGATACTGATTGCAAATGGCTCCAGAACATCCAAGGTGGGTTAACCAACACGCACGACGACTGAGAGCTTGAACCATTAAGACAATCAGCTTGGTTTGCATTCAAGAATTGCAAACACCTTCCTTTGAATCTGCGTAATCATTAGATTCAATACGAACTCCTTTCTCAGAATTGATTGATGTGTGATTAATTCACAGTCGTGTACGCCATGGAAGAATTATGAGCACCTTTTTTTGACAATTCATTGGGAAAAAATGGGCATACTGCTTAAATGCTATTAGGTTCTCAGACACATGGACTGTAACTGATAATTTTGGTACATGGTGTGTGCGAGATCTAGTCCATTGACATCTTTTCTTGGTGACGTTATCGTTTATTCTTTTTGATATACAGTATACAATATCATTAAAGAGTGATGATAATGAAGATCTTCTATTTTTGACAATTCTCAGTGAGAAAAAATCTTGTTCGTCTCGACTTGTATTTGAATGAACAATGCATACTACCATTCTGGTGCATCTAGTGGATGGCACGTGCAATACTCAAACCTCATGACTGAATAAGTTATCCAAGATGTCCAAACCCCATGAAATCATCACCTCCATCTCTCTACATTTTATTTTCGTTCTGGCAATTGATCTTAACACTTGTTTTCGTGCATTTTATTTTCATTCTAGCAATTGATCTTACATTGCTTTTATTTTCCTTTTTTGAGAAAAATTGATCTTGCATTGTTTTGTTTGGTTTGATGAAATTAGAATCCTAGTCACATTTCTTTGAGATTGGTATTTGTTGGAAACAAATTCGTCAGACACGATCCAAGGCGAAAATCAAAATTAAAATAGACAAAGGAGAGCGGTAAGGTATTATTTTTTGAGATTGTATTCCACCCCCTCCGAGTAGCAACCGTGTTGACAGCTGATATGTCCTTGCCTTCTTGGGATATATAGTCAATCCTAGCATACGCCATTTCCAAATCATTATCATGATGCGAGTTGTATTTCAACTATTTGAGGATACACTATTTTCAAATATTAACTTTTATTCTAAAGAAAAGAGCAGTATCTTGTGCAATTTGCTCAAGGGCCCTTTTATAGATAAAGAGAAGAGGATAGATAGTATGACGTAGATTTCATAAAATTTTAGAAAGAGACTATATTAAATTTTAGAGAGAGTAAAGCACCTAAAAGTTGTAGAGGGAAATTATCTCAATTTTTAGATAGACAATTTCAATTTTTAAATTTTGGATAGAAAGTATATTAAATTTTATAGAGAGAAACCATATCAAATTTTAGAAAAACTATCTCCAAAATTTTATTCACACACTATCCCAAATTTTGAGTTTTAGAGAGAGAAAGCATATAAAAATTTTATATAGATAAATTGTATCAAGTTTGTTTCCAAACAATAGATATGGAAGTGATTGCAAGGAATATATTAATTTTGTATAGTTTATCCTAAAAAGAGATTTGAAGAATCCATCACAAAAATCCTTGATATTGAAAATCCATAGATTTCTTTAGGATTTCAAATATCTAAGATTCCTAATTTGCTCCTATCCAAATGAGCCTTTAGTTGATTTTTACAACATGGATTTGAAAATGAAAAAAAAGAAAAAAAAAAAAGAAAGAAAATAATTAAAACCCTAAAAATGTTGTAGTTTGTAATATATTATGTAGATCATCTCACAAATTGGGTAGATCTATTCCATTTGTTTTTGTCAAAGCTCATAATTAGAGGCGTAAATAGATTTCTATATCATAAATAGAGTTTTTAGCACTGGAATTGCATTTTCTAGTGGAGGTTAACGTGCATCGTTACTTCTTAGTGTGAAGCCTAAGCTTTATGCTAAACGTCTTCTTTAACTGATCATGAAGAGCTCAAGATTTCAATGACAATAGGTTAAATTTTCCATAGAAAAAGCTCATAACAAATTTAGCCTTTAGGGTACGTTTGGTTCGCGTATAAATATTCCCTGGGAAATAATTATATATGTAGTGACCAGGGGGAAAGGTTGCAGTGAAAGTGAAGGGAAGATAATGGCTGCATAGAGGAGGTGGTAATGGATTGGAGGAAAGCTCCGACTAGGAGTTTGGATGTTGGTAAGCTTAATGTGTCCTCATCCTCTTTGGTTGTGGCGGACCGAGATGTTTGGAGTCATCTCAATATCAAAACTGAATTTTCATGTCGAGTTATTTTTCGCCTCCGATCTCTAATATTTTTGGCCTTTCGGATTGGGCTCGAAGGGGATGGAACTTTCCCTATCTTCCAAATGTGAAGTCAATCGACCCCAATAAATTTGTCTTTAAACTACGCTCAAAGGATGAAGCAAAACGAGCCCCGTCTAATAGATTATGTCGGGTTCAGGGAAGCTTTAATTCCTTGAATCAATGCAAACCGTCTGATCACTCATCCTTTATTCTATTGGAGCCAGTGTGGTTGAAGTTGTGGGGCCTTCCTTTGTCTGGTTGGAATTTGGTTATCATCAAAAAGGTTGTAGGATATTTTGGGGTTTTTCTCGATTTAGATTGGGACTCTTTTCTGAGCCCAATTTGTTTGTGTGTGCGTGTTAAGGTTGGAAGATGCCTAGGTCTGGTTTTCCCTAGGAACATTTTACTTTGTATCAATGAGATCTTTTTTGATATATCAATTACGGATGATGTTGGTGCCAGACTCCTGCTATGGTTTGCTAAGGAGCATGCCTTGGATCCCTCTCCTACTGCACTCACCTCCCGGCCGGAAAATTTGCCTAAGGTGACCGGAAACTCTGTCGCCGGTAATCAACTCTGCAACTCCCAGAAGAGGAAAAATAAGCATAACTCTTGGTTCTTTAAATTTCAAAAATCGGTTACTCCCAAGATTTTCAAAAGGTAGATCCCTGTTGGCAGATTCTCGGAATCGTTAGCAAGACTCTTGTGCAATTTAAGATCGCATGCCCCCTCTTCGCCAGCATATTCGATGCATAATATAGGTCATGGTGGCGTGCCTCTGTATGACCATGGGAATCATGGTAGTCTGACGGGTGCACCGGATGCAAGTTAGTCTAAGACGGGAAAAAAATTTGAGATGGCAGCGAGTCCATGCCCCAAAAAGGACATGCTCAGTCACCAGATCTTTGATAGAGACCTCTCTACCTTTGTGGCGGAAGCTTCTCCTACAGTTTGTCCTTTTCGGAAGGTTCCCTTTTTTCATCCCTCCTTGCTTGATGAGAAAGTAAGTCGAACTTCCCCTTCTTTGTTGTTGTTACCGTTGTTCCTGCTTTGTCTCCGTCTGCATAAGAAGTTTTCGCCTGGGTGCTTCAGCCAGTGGTTTCTGTGCTCTCTACTGATTCTCTGTAGGAGGAAGAAGATGTATCCTATGTCCTTTCAGTTGGCAGCAGCGAATGGCTCTCGAAAAGCTTCCTGAAGTAGGTTTGACCTGTTGCTTCTTGATCCTATTGCTATTTTGGTCATAGAAGAAGATGAGGAGATTGAGGCTCCTCTGCCACTCGCCATTGAAGCACCAGAACCTCCAACTGCGCAAACAGAAGGTCTAGTTTTAGATTTGGAAGAAATTACCGACTTTGGGGACCCATTTCCACTTTCTGTTGTGACGCTAGAGGCCCCAGTTCTGAAGGGAGAAGCCTTTTCGATCGCCTCTTCCGGGAATGAACCTCTGTTTACTTCTCAGACTATTGGCTCTTTCCAGGCTGGGGGGTCGGAGGCTCAAGAACCTCAGCAATCTGTTTTCAAACAGACGAGAGAAGGGACAGATAAGGAGGAGTTGTCCCAAGAAGAGGCAGCTCTTCTTGGCAAGTTGATTGTAGACATGAGCATGGATGATATACCATTACCGGTGATTTTAAAGGACATTAAGGAGAGGAGGACTCGTTTGGCCGTGGAGAGGGATATGGTAAGTGGGAAACTCCCAAAAGGTTTTTGGGACCCTCCTACTGCTGTTAAAACATCCAATAAGGGATTTGCTACCCAGCAAAAACTCAAGATTGATGGGAAAGGTGTTCGGTCCTCAGCAAGACTTCAGGCCTGTGACAATCCGAGGGGCAGTGGCCCGTCTGTGTCTGATGTCATGTTTCGTGAGCCGAAAGTGGTGGAGGCTGATTCAACATTGACTTCTTTGTTATATGGAGAGAAGTATTTGAACGAAGCCTTGCAACTCGACGAGTTTTATTTTGTCAACGGTCTTAATGGACCAGGTTCTTCCTCTAACCCTTACCATTTTGTTTCTTAATGAATTTCATTTCATGGAATGTCAGGGGGCGCGGTCATCCGAGTAGGAAAATGGATGTCAAGTTTTTGGTTGCTGAGTTTAATCCTGTAGTGTTAATTTTGCAAGAAACTAAGTTCCTGAGTCCTAATGTTTTTGGGACACGGGAGATATGGGGTCCAGGTATTGTTGGTTTTTGCGAGATTGATGCAAATGGTATTTCTGGTGGCTTGTGGGTCCTATGGGATCCTTTGGTTTTGGTAAATTTTGATATTATTATTAAGGACTACTTCTTATTGGTGAGTTTCAATGGCTTGAAAGCTGGTTTTTCCTGGGGTTTTTTAAACGTTTATGGGCCCACAGTCCCTGCCTTGAAAGAATTTTTTCTTGATAAGTTAAGTTATATTATTCAATCATGTCCTTATCCTGTGGTGATTGGTGCGGACTTTAATATGATTAAATGGCCTAATGAAAGTCTTGCAGGCACCCTTATTAACACTTCGATGAGAATGTTCAATAGGTTTGTTGAGAATAACTCTTTGTTAGACCCCCCTATTATTGGTTCCAAGTTCACTTGGTCCAATAATAGTATCACTAATTTATCCATGTCGAAATTAGATAGATTTCTAATTTCGATAGAATGGATGGAGGAGTTCCCTCTCATATCTCTTAAAGCGTTACCCAGGGTCTCCTCAAACCATTTCCCTAATTTACTGTCCTCTGGTATGTTGAATGGTGGGCCTAGATGTTTTAAGCTGGACGTGGGGTTGCTGATGGAGAAAGATGTTGTTGATTTGATACGGGGGACGTGGGTCAATACTGTAGTGGAGGGTACTTTGGACTTTCAGCTTCATAGAAAGCTTCTAAATATCAAACACAAGTTGATTGCAAGGAAGAAATAAGAAATTTGATGTCAATGCTAAGATTGATGTGGTACTTTCTGATATTGAGATGTTAGATGTCAATGTCCAAACGAATGGAGTGTTGTCTGAGCAATCAGTGGTAGATAGGTGTTCGAAGATGAAAGAATTGGAGGATCTTCGTAGAGCAGAGAAGATTTACTGGAGACAAAGATCTAGATCAAAATGGTTGAAAGAATGGGATCTTAACACAAAAATTTTCCATGTAGTTGCCAGTGCTAAAAGGCAA